GTTCGGGCTTCCTGGCTGGCGGCTTCAGCTTTTTCGGCCGGGGCGGCGGGCCGGGCGGCGGAGCGGCGGGGCCCGCGGCCGACGGGGGCACCGTAGACTTGCGGGAGATGCTGGCCGTGTCCGTGCTGGCGGCCGTCCGCGGCGGCGACGAGGTGAGGCGCGTCCGCGAGAGCAACGTCCTCCACGAGAAGTCCAAGGGGAAGACGCGCGAGGGAGCCGAGGACAAGATGACCAGCGGCGACGTACTGTCCAACCGCAAGATGTTCTACCTGCTCAAGACCGCGTTCCCCAGCGTGCAGGTGGGTGTCGTGGGCGCCGTGGGAGCGGACGGGCGGCGCGCCCGCCCGGGCCAGGTAGCCTGGGAACCAGTCCCCGCGCGTTGACTCTGTCTAGCAGCCCCAGCCGTGGAATCTCTGGCTCCCATTTTGCACATGTGGAAATTGAGACGCAGAAGTTAGTGTGCGCAAGGTCATATAAACAGTTCGTGGAAGAACTGCGTGAGGTTGCACTTAGTCTGAACCTGGGCCCATGCCCTCTGGCCTCTTCCGGTTGTGTATGCGCTTTGTGTACTTGACATCGGGAGCCCTGGTCTCTGGGTGGACGTTAAGGCTGAGAAAGTTTAACTGCCCCAGCTGCTTCAGGCTCTTCTGTAAAATGAAGGAGTTGGACTAGAACTCCAAGGCCCCATATCCTTCCTTGATTTTACCAATGGAAGGGTCGTGGTTGTAGAGTACACCTTTTCTGGCAGACCTGCCAATAGCCATCTAAAAGGCCAAGAACTGTAGAAGTCTTGTTGCAGAGCTGGCATTTCTGGGGTGGGGGAGGTAACCTCATGAATTACTTTAGCCATAGTTTTATCAGGACCCTTTTAATGATATATAGTTTGGGGGCCCTTCGAGGAATTATTTGGAAATATGCTTCCCAGCAACTTCATTTCAGCAGTCTACTCCACGTGGCACTTGATTAAAGATCTGTATTTACTCCGGAGAAGAAGAATTGAATAACAATTTCCTTTTCTTTGGGTAGGTTTCTGGGGAAGGAGTTGATAATTTCTTAGGGAAATCCAGACATTTTGGATTTGTTATTCATACTTTTTGAATTCGTCATTTCAGAGGAGCTGCTGTTGAATTGAATAAAGCTTTTAAAAATTTATTTTAATTCCAGAGGAAGAACTCAACATAGTGTGGCAAGCAATACCTTATAAATGTATGTCTTTACTCACCTAACAGTAGTTTTGGCTACTGAGAATAAAAATAGTTTCCATTGTATTTTATTTATTAGGTAAACATTGGTATCTAAACTCAGACTTTGGAAGCTGTCTGACCTTTTACTATTGTTCTTGGAAAAGTTAGGAAAATATTGTCATTGTAGAATTACGTATCCTGTGTAATCCTCCTTCCAATCTATGGCATTATTATTGCTTTGGTTTTCTTTCTTCCCTCTCCCACCCTTCCCCTTCCTTCCTTTCTTTCCTTGCCCTCCCCTCCCCTCCCCTCCCTTCCTCTCTCGCTCCCTTCCTTCCTTCTTATCTTTTTCTTTAATTTTTTTTTCCAGCAGAAAGGAACATTGGATTTCATATCATAAGCTGCTGGATACCAGATATACTTGACATTAGCAGAATTTTTTTTCAAAGGTCTACTCAAACAAAACAATATTTACCCCTTTTTCCTACTATGCTTTACCATCACAGATAATACTAATCTTGTATTTGAATCTGAAATATATTTCTTTTCCAAAACACACGTGCTTCCCTAAGAGTTTAGGAAAAACAGGAGTTTCAGAGAAATTGATGTGTAATATAACAGTACTACTAATAATAACTATTAAGTGTATTCTAAGTGCCTAGATACTGGCCACACAGGCCTTCTTCATTTGATCCTTACAGCAACTTTAAGAAGCAAATTTTATTCATGCCTGATGGGAAATCTGAGGCTCATGACACTCCACGGCACAGCTTATGTGAACTATCTAAGTTTTCATTTTAGCTAGGTCTTTAGGAGGCTACTTAAAACTTAGAATATGACTTCCTGGAAAAAAACATATAATTGTAAAAGCTTAAAGCAATAATAGTGAAATACAGAAAGCAAAGTTAAACATTTTTTTTTAAAGTGAAGACAAAAAATATCTTAAATATTGTAAATGTGTGTGTGCGTGTGTTCTCACTTATTAGCAAACAATAAGGGAATAGCTGCCAAGGGTGGTGAGCTGCATTTTGTTAAACACAAAAGCTTGGCTTTTGGAATTGCAGATGTCAAAGTCCCTGACTTTATGTAAAAGAACTTTTTGTTTCCTGTGACCATTTGAGTGTTTGCATGTACATCTTTAGTGTTCAGGTTGGGTGTTGATATGGAGAATAGAGGAGGTTGTGTTCATTTATACACTGTCAGAGTAGGGATGGTGTCATGTTGAGCTATCTCCTTTCATCCCTCTTTTGTTAGACCCGAGGCCAAATGTAGGCATCTGAGAAGCAGAGACTCAGCCCTAGATTTTTCCCTCTCTTTCCTCCTCTCCACCATTGCCTAGCATAGTCTAAATGCCTAGTTGTTTTTGAAGCCTTACCCCAAATTTTTTGATGAGAAACTTCAATCATATTCCACTCAGTTTACTTCCAAATGGAAAGTGACCATTGAGAAGCCACAAATACTTTTAGTTTATCTTAGTGCCCTGTGCAAATGTTGACAGGTCTGTTTTCTTTTCTTCTACTACTTTCCTGCCTAGAGTCTGAGGCCTGAGCTTTTCTTTTTTTTTTTTTTTTGTCCTTTTTGAGACCGGCCGCACCGCGCTCAGCCAGTGAGCGCTGTGAGCGCACCGGTCATCCCTATATAGGATCCGAACCCGCGGCGGGAGCGCTGCTGCGCTCCCAGCGCTGTACGCTCCCGAGTGCGCCACGGGCTCGGCCCTGAGCTTTTCTATCTAATATTCACTCCTCAGTAAAAGGATATGCCAGGAGTCATTCTAGAGCACTCAAATGGGGACAGGTTTGCCCCCCAACAGACATTTGTCAATGTCTGGAGACATTTTTGGTTGTCACAACCAGTAGTAAAATGCTATTGGCATTAGTGGGTAGGGGATAACCATCCTACAATGCACAGGACAGCCTTCTTCCCCAAAGAATTATCTGGCTCAATTTGTCAACTGGTGCATAGGTTGAGGAACCATAATTCCAAAGAAGTAAGTGCAGTCCTAAGAAAACTCAAGTTTAGCCTTGGATAAGTAGATTTCCTTTTGTCTTCAGCCTTTCTTGTGTTAGGGAATCTTAGGGGAGTCCTCAGGGCAGGTGTTCTCTTACTAAACACTTTGGCAATGCTTGATTTTATTGTGTTAAAGTCATACTAACTGCAGCCATTTGTATAACACTGTCTCAGTATTTCTTTGTGGATAATGATGAAAATGAAGGCTGAAGATAGTTTTGTGGACTGGGTTTGTAACCACAGAACAAACTTAGGTTTATAGTTTTGATTCAGTGTACAAAGGATTCTCTGTTTGAGGGGCTTCTTTCCTCGACTTGTTCAAAGTTTTGACAGTGACTTATCTTAAGATAAAGCATGGTACTCTAAGCAGGTAGCAGTAGTTTATGTCTGATCCTTGCCTGACTTATAGAATGGGATTTAACTTCTTTTTTTTACAGAAGTACTCACTGGAAAAGTTTGAGAAGTTCTAATATAGTGCAAAGAACACTTGTTTTGACATCTTGTCCGGTCACCAGGCTAGGTGATCCTGGCCAGTCATTTAACTTCTTTGCACCACAATTTCCTCTTCTGTAAAATCTGGATAACTAGTCATTGGTGCAGACATAAACACTGCAGACAAAGGGAAAAATGAGTTCAAAGGAGGAGGCCCAAGAGAGGTGGTATCACAGTAAATTCAAGAAATCTGATGAGTTTGAATAAGATGAACTTGAAAGAGATTAGAAAGGTAGGCGTGGGCTAGATCATATTCCAAGCTCAAAGGAGTTTCGACCTGATCTTTAGTTTAATTCTAGAGTACTAAAAGAAAGCTAGACTTTGCTGACTTTTCTTGAGGCCTGCAATATGCCATACTTGAGGCTTTGGGCATTTGGAGGTGGATGAGACCAGGTAGGAGGCTGTTAGAATAATCTGGGGGAAAAATGAGGATCAGGACACAGGCAATAGGAAAGTTGTGCTGAACTGGTTTTACTAGCTAACATTTATTTAATTCTTAGCAAGTAGCCAACACTGAATTAAACTTTTTAATGCCATTATTAATTTATCTGTAGAACAACATAGAAGGTTAGGTATTATAGCCTCCATTTTGCAGAAAAAGAAATTGAGGCTTGGAGAAGTCAAATAATTTGCCAAGGGTTACACAGCTGGAAAATAGTCTTAGGCTCACTGAGATTCACTTAATGGTCTGAGAATCATCTCAGGTCTGTCTAATTCTGTATGTAAAGCAGTATAGGAAGTATAACAGAAGTCTTCTCTTAACTACAGTGTTTTGGTTTTTTTTTTTTTAAAGATGACCGGTAAGGGGATCTTAACCCTTTGACTTGGTGTTGTCAGCACGATGCTTACCCAGTGAGCTAACCAGCCATCCGTATATGGGATCCGAACCCGTGGCCTTAGTGTTATCAGCATCACACTCTCCCAAGTGAGCCAGGGGCCAGTCCTTAACTATAGTGTTTTGAATGAATGGAATGAATGTTTTGATTGAATGGATTCAGCGTAGATGCTTGGAGAGTATTTTGGAGGAGAGCAAAGCAAATACAGGGAAATCAGTTAGGAGGCCTTTTCAGGTGACACATGAGTTTCTGATCCAAAGTTGAGGCTTAGAGGCTTAGAGGAAGAGAATCAAACTAAATTGATTTACACATGTGTGAATTTCTTTTGGTTCTTAAACTGTTTAGGAATATTTATGTTTTGAATTGGGGTTATGGTTGTAGAGAGGATATATTTGGAAGGAAATGAAAAAAAATTAAGGATGTGTCAAAACTGACTCCTCTGTGGCTTACACTATTGTTTTGTTGATGGTGCAGGAGAATGGGGGATGACAAATTGGAGGGGCAGATTATGGGCACCATTTTAGACTTGTTTTGTTTGAGGTGACTTTGATATGTCCAAGGGGATATGTTAAGGAGGTAGTTGAATAATATAAATGGGTCTGAAGCTCTGAAGAGCCCTCTGAAGTGGAAATGCAAATTTGTCAGTCATAGTGTTGTGGTGTTAATTGAAACTGGTTGTGGACAGGATTGTTAAGGGAGAGAAGATGTCATTAAAGGGGAAGATTAGGGTCTCAGAACAAGGATGATAAAGACTGAAACAGTCATTTAACAAGAGTAGTA